TAAAAGAAAATAAATGTTTGGATAAAAACTACTCCATTCGTCGACTGATGTCTTCAAGCTGCAACATATATATATATATCTCCCCACAGAGTAACTGGGCTCTGTTTTAGAGATATGGTAAGAAGTACAGAAGTAGAGTATCTGGGAGAGACAGAGTAGAGCCACTGCTTCTTCACAGTTGAGGAGCCAGTTGATTAGAGTCGGGCATGTAGAAAGAATTCCCCATTCCGCACTGGGAGGAGACCCCAGGAAAAACTCAGAACATGCTGGAGAGCTGGCCTGGCCTGGATTTAAACCTACATTCAACGTGTTTGCAGTAGCCCTTATGGTCCAGTTCCACTCTRATTTCTCAGACCATAAGACCTCTGGTTCTGTTTGGGATGGCCCAAAAATGAGATTTAATTTACACGAATCATGTTTCTTTCACACGAGTTCAGCTAAACAACATCTGTAACAATGTACCATGCAACAACAAGCTGACCACTGGCTTACCATCTGTCATCTTACTCTCATTTTCAGCATCCACCTGTACATAGATGGTTTGGTACAGTCTTCAGTCCTTTTACTTTGAGTTTAGTGTAGTCCATAGTTGTGTCACACATAAAATTTAATAAGACTGGCACATATTTCATTTGATGATCCCACCCACATTGAGGTGGCTCTCTCCTCAAAACAAACATGACCAGAACCAGGGCCGAGATAAAATAAGACCAGGCACCAACTGTGGCCGGGCCTTAAAGGGATCCACGATTAGTTGTAACACTAAACTTTATCTGATAAGCATTTATTTTAACTGTAAAATAAAGACTGTAAAAATAATGTAGGCTGGTTGGTTTAGTAATTTTTTTTAAATAGATTTTAACACGGATGGAGCCATTTTATTTCCACGCAAAGCATTCTGGGTAAATGATGACATCAACTAGGTCATCGGTGCGAGGCTGCTAGGGAGCTATATCCACCCTGAAGGTTAATCTTGGATAATACATGTATCTGACTGTCATGGACTAATTATTAATCTGTTTTCCCCTTGACACTGTTCATCTTGTACCTTTCTGATAGCTCGTTACGCTCTTTTTGTCTGGACAACGGGAATCCATGATGGACAGGGTGTGAGCTTTGTGATTGGCTGAACAGTACATTTGGCGATCTATGATTGGTTGTAAACTGACACATGGGTTTGGCCTACGGTATATTATTGGCTGTATTCTGCTGACGCCCAGCAGGCAGAACCTTCTTGATTCAGTTCTGTGTTCGTTGCTCACAATTAAAATCATATTTGATTATCACATACGCAGACTTTTCTCGTATTATTCCAACGTGTTTCTGCATTTGCCACCACACTGACGATTGGCTCTTTTAAATGAAACCAGAGAGCATTGACAGAAAGGAGAAGGTAGCCTGTGTGTGTTTCAGCCTGAAAATATAGATGGACAACAGAGCTGCTTCATGGAAGAACAACCTCAGCTTAGCCTGTTAGCCTTTGCACTAGCCCTCACGCTATATTGCCTTATATGTATTAGCTCGGCGCTAGCGCGACAAACAAGTTAAACTGAGGTCCACCATCCATAATTTCAGTTGCAGGCTGAGACATTTTTGTGTTCCCCTCTCTGTCATGTGGATGGAGGACCTCGGTGACGAGAGGAGAATGTGTAGCGCTGAGCTAATACAT